GATTGCCACTACTTTGAGCTCAATTTCAAGGTACTTTTCATCATGAAACGAATCAAAATAATCTCTATTTCTGTAATGTATCTTCCATTCTATCAAATGAGACCAAGAAAACGAAAATTCAACCATAAATGCCCTATGAAAATACACCTCAAGTTGGCGTTTTAAACCAAAAACACGATCGGAGTTTTTTTTTTCTCATTATGCACTGCGTGCTGCAGGATTTTTTTATACTGCACACACTGACCATGCAGACCCATTCTCACATGTAGGTCTACTAGCTTTCTCCTGCTAGATTTGAAGTCACTAGAATTTTGGCGTATTAATACGGTACCAACACTGGCTACAATTGTAAGCCGTATTTATATGACACCGACCGTGAAAGGGTTAAAACACTTGAAATTTTGGAAAGTTTCCAAACATAATGGAGAGTTGTGGAGCTCGTGGAGGATGTAAACAGATAGAGTGGTGTGCAGTGCCTGTATTAGCGAGTCAGGTGGGGGGAGCCGTATGAAGAATTTCGGTCATAATTTGAAACATCCGTATAAGCGATATGCTGTAAAGCAGGGCCCTACTGTATTTTTTCTTTTCTTTTTTTGCAGTTGTATTAGATTTAAAATTCTCTACAGTCCTCTAAGAAAAAATGATTGATTTTAAGTTTTGAAAGATTGTCTGGTTGATAAAATTTCCAAAGATTCCAAGTTTAAGAAAATTAATTGCATTATTAAAATTGCCAACACACAAACTAAACTGAATGTGTACTATCCTGGCTGTAAGAGGCATTAGCTATTAATTATTAAAACCATTTAGGAGAGGGAGACTCAGATTATGAATGTGATGATTAAATGGGATTCAAAATTTCTCACAGTTTTACTCATACAGTGGCAGATGTGCACCTATCCACTTGAATTTTACTCTGCCATTCCTGAATTAGGGGGCACTTTTTTTTCTTTTTTTTTTTTTAACATTTGAACGCTACACTGCTGAGGGTTTTGGAAGTATTGGAGCGTTTCAGGTTTACGGGTGAATGGGTTCAACAACTTTGATGCATATTCCAATTGTTTTCCACAATCTGGCCCTAGTTACTGTGCACAATCATTTCAAAATTTGAAGCCATTTGGATGAGGGGTTCTCAAGTTATGAGCAAAATAAATTAAAAAGTTGGAGGAATGACGAAAACAAAAGAAAAATCAGCCAACCTTTTAAAGTTCTTCCCCTTTAAGGATACCCAGTGGAAAATATTTTATCCAACAATGTGGAAGTTATTTTGTCATGCTTATGGATCTGAGAAAATGTGTAGAGATACCATGCTAATAGGGTGGGTCAGGCTCCAGACCACTGCTGTAAAGCGAATATCGCCTTAAAGCGAATCACAGCCTTTTTTTTTTTTTTTTCACTTGCCAGTGCCTTAACCCTTTGACTGTTTCCGACGTATAAATACGTCTTACGAGCCAATGTTTCTGACGTATTTATACGCACAAATTCTAGCGGTTTTCAAATCGAGCACCAAAGGCCTGGTAGGCCTACACGGAAGAGAATGGGTCTCAGTGGTCGGTGTGCACCCTGTGAAAAAAATCTGGGACCCAGCAGTGCATTGTGGGAACGCCATGTTGTCAGTCTATTTTCACCATGCCTCTCGGTAAGAAGTTCCTCACTCCTCGGCGGATTGGAGGTCTTTTGTTCCCAAGTGATAGCTCTAACAGCGATGAAAATGTCAGTGACAGTGAATTCAAGGGTTTTCAAGTGAGTGTTACCAAAAAAAGTGCCCAGGATAACGTAAATAGTGACGAAAACCCAGATGACCCACAACCTTCGACCTCTGGTGCTGTGCCGGCTTGTTCACGTTCACGTTCGCCTGTACCAGGATGAAAGAGGAAACTATTTGGTCGTGTACAACACCCTGATGATAGCAGTGATAGTGATAGTGATAGTGATTTCAAGGTCATTGAAAGCAGTTCTAGTGACAGTGAGAGTGAATATTCCCCAGTGAAGCGCCAGTATGTACGACGTAGTATGCGGTCTGGTAGTGTTTCATATGTTGTTCCAAGGGGAAGGAGAAACTCTGGGAGCACATCCCGTGGCCCAACACCACGACCTGATAGTGAAGATGACGATATTGTAACGATGGGTATGAATGGTGACAGTGAGGGAGGAGGCAGTGGTGGTGATAGTGAGGGTGGCACGGCCCATGTGGCACCATCACCCGGGCCACGCTACTAGCCACACGGCTGACTCAGCAGAACAACCAGCCTCACCCTACCCCACACTGCCACAACCTGCACCACCACAACCTGCACAGCCACAACCACGGTACAATATCCAGACCCCACCAGCAGACCGCATCTGGGATTGGCAGGACGGTGACGAGTTTGTTCCCAGTCCCCCTGACTTTGATGAAACACAAAGTGGAATAAAGCCATCTTGTCCACTTGGGAACAATGCCAGTGAATGGACTGCTTTGAGTTATTTTTCGATGAACCCTGATGGACATCATTGTCAGGGAAACAAATACATACTGTGATTACACCATGGCAAATACAATTCTCTCACCAAATCACGGCTACACAAGTGGAAGGAGACAACTGTGGCAGAGATGTACCTGTTTTTTGCCACAATAATGCTTATGCCACATGTGTATAAGCACACTGTCACCACATACTGGACAACAGATCGCCTGATTTCAACTCCAGGTTTTTGTGACATTATAGGTGTCAATCGTTTCCTGATACTGTTACGTATGTTACACTTTTCAGACAAAACCAGGCCTGACAGAAGCGACAGGTTATATAAGATAAGAAATGTGTTTATGTACCTGAAACAAAAGTGCTGCATGTATTTTTATCCCTTCAGGAAGCTTGTTATTGATGAGTCCTTGATTTTATTCAAAGGAAGACTCTCATTCAAGCAATATATACCAAGCAAGAGGAAACGCTTTGGTATAAAGCTATTTGTACTGTGTGATTGCAGAAGTGGTCTTGTTTTAGATATTATTGTGTACACTGGCAGTAATACTTTGAGAGATACCATGAAGTTATTGGGTATCTCTGGTGATGTGGTTCGAACAATGATGGAACCATATCTTGGTAAGGGGCATATGTTATTTACTGATAACTGGTACACAAGCCCCTTACTCAGTGATTTCTTGCGAGTGAACTTGACAGACGTGTGTGGCACAGTGCGTGGTAATCGCAAACATATGCCAAGGTTCGACGCTGGCACTCGCAGAGGTGAGGGGCAAGCCTTTGCTGCCAATGACATCATGGCATTTCGGTGGCATGACAAACGTGATGTCACATTGTTGACATCAGTTCACACAAACGAAATGGTACCCAGTGGCAGGGGACAACAGAGAGACCAATGAACCCATTCTAAAGCCTGCAGCTGTCATGGACTACAACCTCAATATGCGCTTAGTGGACAAATGTGACATGCAGATTGGGTTTGCAGACTGTGTACGCAAGAGTTATTAGTGGTATATCAAACTTTTTTTCCATCTTGTTGATATCTCTATGCTAAATGCTTATAACATATACAAGTTGAAGACCAACAAACACCAAAATATGGTGAATTTTGCCTGTCAGTAATCAGACAAATAATTGCAAAGTACCAAGGAGCAACTCCTGCAATAGACCAGCGCCCACAGACGTCATCTCGTATGAGGCCTGGTGATCACTACCCCATACAACTGCCTCCTACTACTGCCAAGAAAAATGCTCAGAAGGGGGTGTTATGTATGTATGCATACCACAAAACGCCCCCAAACACGCAGAGACACTCGTTTTATGTGTGAGGAGTGTGAAGTGCCCCTCTGCATATACCCATGTTTCAAAGAGTTCCACAAGCTGCAGCAGTTCTAGGAACGTGGTTAGTGACTGTACATATGTATATATATTATGGAACAATAGTAATAAACATTGTTTTGTATTGTTTGTTTGTGTAAACAAAGTGTATACACAAACTAATAGTGATAAAGTTTGTTCTGTTATTGTGTTGTAAATAATGAGTGTATATTTGAACAATGCACCTTACATTGGTCTCACAGGCCACATAAGTTACGTGGAAAAGAAAAATATTGAAAAATGCAAGAAACCTTTGAATTAGAGTAAATAAAAGAATACCGGGTGGGCGGCAGTCGCCGCTGTTGCCGTACGCACGTCAATTTCTGCAAACTTTGCGGCTCTATATCTTGGTAAGTACTGATGGCAAAAATTTTTTTTTAGGCTTAAAACACTAGTAAAAATATTCCTAACATTTTCATAAGAAAAAATAATTTTTTTTTTTTTCGAATATTTGGCGACATAGAATGACAGTTTCAGAGAGGGCCCTGAAACAGTCAAAGGGTTAAAACATATTTATGCTATCATTTTTTAAGTGTGAAATAGTTCTAGGAGTAAAAAAATGCAAAAATGAAAACAATAAGTTAAATAATTCTGAAAACCATCTTAAGAGCAAGGCAAGTTCCAATAATAATAAGCCTGAATATTAACAAAGTGCTTTCAAGTGAAGCACTGTATTAACGAGGTATGCCTGTATATGTTTTACTGCATTACTAAGAATGTGGTAAGTAACTAACAACTTCTTCAAATAGAGACAGGGATATGTTAGAAACAAGTATACAGTGGAACCTCAAAAATCGAACTGCTCTCAACACAACCAATTATGTAAGTGTATTTTTGTAAGTGCTTTTATAAGTGTATTTTTGAGGGTCTGAAATGGACTAATCTAATTTACATTATTCCTGATGGGAATAAATTCATTCGGTAAAGGCACTCGAACAGCCTTCTGGACCGAAGAAAGTTCGATATTTGAGGTTTCACTGTATGTGGAAATAGAAGTTCTTTCTAAAACATCAGAAATACCATTACATATATTAATGATTGTGAGTGGTGGTAGATTCTTGACCCTAAATTTCATTAGTTGTAGAATGAAAACTTGCTATTGATTTTGTGGGTAGCTTTAATGCTTTTATGTTTTACTTCATACTTGAGTTATTTTCTCTACAGTGGTCCCATCAGTGCTCTCATATTAGCCCATGAAGATGCTATCAATCGGTGGAGGTCGGTGATGGGGCCTACTAAAGTCTACAAGACCAAGTATGAGGCGCCGGATACTATCAGGGGGATGTACGGCCTCACTGATACTCGCAACTCCACCCATGGCTCAGGTAATCTATAATTTTTGGTAAAACTGTTTGCCTTACACAGATGTGGTCTTCATGAGTTATTATAGGTGATTGTCTCCTGTATCATAATTCTTCAAAAAGTGATATTTGTTTCTACCATATTTTGTCGATGAGGATGCTCTGTGAAATGCCTGAGCTCTATGGGGTTTAGATAAAAGGAGTACATGTGGCTAAAAAAAAAAATTACATTAATACTGCACAGTATTTGTTACTTACTCTCAAGTTAGATTGGTCATAATAAACATCCTGAGGTGAGTGGAGAGAGTGCCTGATGGTGTTGATGTTGTTGGGGTTGGTGACGTGATGTTGAAGGTTTGGGATCTTGTGATGTTGATAATAATAAATGCTCACAAATTAGCATACTGTACATACATGTATTTCATAGAAAAACAAGAATAAAATTATTTATTTTCCCCTTCATGTTATGAATGAAAAGAAGTTAGATGTTCTTGCTCTAAGAAAAACAAAGCTGAAGGGGGTAGGGAGTTTCAGTGGGAAGAAATAAATGAGATTAGGTCTGGAGTATATGATAGAGTTAGAGCTAAGGGGTAGCAGTAATGCTGAAGGATCAGTTATAGAAAAAGAGAGGAATATAAATGCATAAATTCAAGGATTATGTAGATTAAAATTAAGATTGGATGCAAAAAGTGGGTTATAATAAGCTTTTCTGCACCTGGAGAAGAGAGGAGTGTAGAGGAGAGAGAGAGAGAGAGAGAGAGAGAGAGAGAGAGAGAGAGAGAGAGAGAGATATAGAAAGATAGAGAGATAGATTGAGATTGATTTTGGAAAATGTTAAGCAAATTCAGTAAGTGCTTGGGAAATTTTGAACCAAGTGAGAGAGTACACATGGTGGGGGACATGAATGCTAAAATGGTTAGAGAGGGTGTGGTAGGTAAGTTTAGGGTACCAAGTGTAAATGATAATGGGGCCTTTGGTAATAGGTACAGTAGACTGTCGTTTAACACGATTTTGTTGTGCACGTTTTTGTTATAGCACGATTGAAGAATTACCTCATATTTTTTTTAACACTTTGTAAAATGAGTTTAACACGGTTGCGTGAGTGGAAAAAATTTTGAGCGCCTGGTTGCCCGCCGGGTGGGATGGTCTGTGGGTTATGCCACTGTGTCAATGGGGGAGACCTATCGCCATCCCGCACCTCCCTAAGCCACCCACACCACCCTACCAGCAAGGAGATAACCAGGTGATGGTTTTGAGGATATGAATGAAGAAGATGTGAATGAGATGATGATGAAGACAGGAGTCCAGAGATAATGTTGGCAGAGCTTGATGCACAGATACAAGGGAGGGAGATAACAGAAGATGAATCTGAAGAAAAACAGTTAACATTACAGCAGTTATGTGAGCAGTTCCATATTATTAGTAAAATTACAGACTTTTTCACTGGAGAGGACCCTGACAAATCTAGAAGCAGTACTTTGAAATGGGGTCTAGACCAGCTGATGATGCCTTGTCATCAGCTGTATAATGTACTGCAGGGTCAGAGAGCCCAGAGGTCCATTACAGAATTTATGCACACTCCAATACAACCATCGACTTCAGTGCCAGAACCTCTACCATCCACTTCTGCCGACAACCAACAACCATCCACCTCAGCCCAGTAGGGCCACGCCATCCATATCCACTCTTTACAATCATCCACAAACGCCATTACCCACAATTTAACCCTTTGACTGTCGCAGGCCCCTTTCTGAAACTGTCATTCTATGTCAATAAATTTTTGAAAAAAAAAAAATTCTTATGAAATGATAGAGAATCTTTTCCCGATGGTAATGACACCAAAAGTACGAAATTTGGTCGAAACTCACGGAATTACGCTCCCGCGAAGTTAGTGGTCTCGGCGACATAAGCATTAGCAATTTTGCCGACTTTGAGCCCTATTTTTGGCCAATTCCGTTCTTCCAGTTGACCAAACTCATAGCTATTTCTTTAGAACTCCATTTTTTCTATCAGTTGCTTACAAGAAACCGCCCATTTACCGACTTGAACTACCCAATAAAGTGGTCAGAAATTGGCAATTTGGCCAATTTCACACAAACTAAAAAAGATGCCAATTTCAAAATAGGGTCCAGAATAAACAATGTAGACATTCTTGGCACTAAAATAACATATCCTCTGTTAATTAGTTTAGGCCCTCT